AATTCCTCTGGCTATTAATCTCTCGTATAGCTTATGCTTTGGGTACAGAGTATGTTTTACCTGGGTGCATCCCACTTTTCATGCCTCAGTGTATCTATTTACATAAAAACATAGATGTGTTTTATAGTCATACATATGTAGACATGCACCAGTCAAAAACCAGCTAGAGGAAGTCACTTTAATACTACCCTCTGGCTTTTTGGAAGATTGGCGTAAATCTCTTCTGCAGGGGGAAAAAAATCCATTTTTCTGAGAAAGTAAATGTTTATTAAATGCAAATACTGATATTCGTTACCTAGGAAAAATGTCTTGCTGCATGTGGAATTTCTCGATAAAAAGCTTTCAAGTCCCGGGTTTCTCCAGATAAACCCCTATCGGTGAACTGATGCGTGAATGCACTGAAATTGAATTACTGTACAACAGCAATTACTTTGCACAGTACAGCTATAATGGGAGTCAGTGCTGCAACGAACAGCAGGTAGCTATAGGAAGAAGGGAAAAACTCAGTACAAAATCTACTCTCTCGGAGCTTTTCCCAAGAAGTAAACTATTTATTTTTAAGCAAAACACTCTTTTTCAAGTGCCTGGCTTATCACTTTATCAAAGCAAACCAGAAAGGAAGTGAAACAGAATTAAGTTTATTTACAGGTATGCACTTCAGAGTGCTTTCAAAAGTTATTAAATATCATACCCAGAGTTTGGAAACAAGACTCTTCGGGCAGGACGTTTAGCTTTGCTTTCAATGTCCTCTTTGCGTTCCCCCAATGAAGTTTGTTCTTTTAACTAATTTTTTTTTTCAGGGGATGGGAGACATATTTCAACAGCAAATAAGATTCTTAAGGTTTTGCTCAATATGCAACCAAAACAGATACTTTCCTATAATCTTTCCTGCAAAACATGTTAACATTTGTGGAGGTCCGAAGCCAGCACAGCCCAGTACTGAAATTCCCGTGGGTGTGGGTTGGGCTGGCTCTAAAACCAGGAAGACCTGGGAAGCTAGGGGAGGAGGCGACACATGCCTAAATCAGCCTGACAAAAGCAGTTCCCACCTAGAGAAGCTCTGCGTAGCCAAAGCCAAAGCCCACTAGGACAAATTCACCTTTGGGAAACCCTTCCGGAGAATACTGGCCTAAGATTTTAAATGATCTGAAGTCCATCCTTCTGACATTTCCTGGTTTATCCACTTTCTTCTGATGGTGTTGCTCACTTCAGTTCTGTGGTCTGTACCCAAATCATAAGACCGGGACCTCCCCCCTGGCTGCATGGGCATCTGTCCTGAAAGGACAGACCGATGAGTAGAGGTGCCCTGGCTAGGCAGAGGTACTTCCCACACAGTTTCCACCAACTGCATATTTGGCTGTGCCTGCTGAGAGTTCTCTGAGGCCTCGATGAAGCTTCCAGTTGACCGACACTTTGTGCTGACCTAGCGGAGGTTTTGAAGCCAAAGGGAAGGCTGGGGCAGGCTGCTCATCTAGCTACTGCTATGGAATTCATCCTTTGCCTTCTCCATCCTCCCGAATCAGGGTGTATTTCTCCACATGGGCAACTGGGAGAAAGAGGAGCTATGTCAAGCCTGCCTTCCATCAATATCCTCGAGGAGCTCTGATGTGTGACACAGACAGGTGTTTCCAGGTGTCACTCAGGAATGGCCCAGTGGGGATCCACGCTGGCAGAGGATCAGAGCATATCACATCCGGGCATAGGGAATACTGCCCTTGAAATGTTAACGAAGTAAAAGCGAATCCATGCTATTTCTTGTCCATTCACAGGGACTTAATACTGGGTACCTGCTCCACAACATTCATGGACTATGTTTGAACAAAGAGGCTGGGACGTGGAACCTGGCACAGAACTGCTATCCACGACAGCAAGCAGCCGCGTTACCGCATCCGACTAGAGCTAGCCTCCCGGTGGATGTGAGAAATTACATAAACCACAAAAGCCATTCAGAACTGCTAGGGAATACTAGTTAAGAAATGTGACCGTAATGATGGGACCATTATGTTAATAGCAATTATGGCGGGGGGGGGTATTTTT